CTCTCACTGGCCTGTGGGGGCTCAGTGAGACCAAACCAGTCCCCTGTTCCCGGGAGGGCCACTGCCTGGCACAGGGGCCGTGGTGGGGAGCGAGGCTTCGTGGAGGACTCGAGGCTGTGGGGCGTCCTGGGTTGTGGCTGCACAGGCTGGCTGGGGCCCGGGGGCTCTTCCAGCAGTCGCTCCCGTGTCTTGGGAAGGGGAGGCACTTTTGGGCAGACACAGGGCCACCCCTTGCAGGTGCACCTGTTAGGGCCTTGGCCAGAGCTCGAGGAGCAGGGGGTTGGGGGCCCTGGGATCTGGCCAGACGCCGACCTTGACGCAGGTTTAGGGGCAGAGGCAGCATGTCTCGAGCCCTTCCTCATTCTGCCAGATGTGCCGGAACTCGTGGTGCAAGCAGCCTGGTAGCTGAGCCCTGCCCAGCCCTACTCTGCCGGCGCGGCGCGGCTCGCCCACCTGACCTGGTGCGTGGGCAGTGGTGGGCAGCCCCGTGACTCCACCGTCTCAGTGCCGCTGGAGGGCCCTGCTCCATTTCGCTGCTTTAGGCTTGGAGGTGGTTAAGCTGCAAGGAGTTGGCTCCGGCGTGGCACCTTGGGGTGGGCTGGGTGGAGCCTCTCCTCAGCACCCCCAGCGTAGCTCAGGCCTGCAGCAAGCCCCGTTCCGGGGAGGTGGGATGAGAAGGGAGGTGGGACCTTGGCTTCTGGCTGGGGGCAAGCCGGGCTGCTTGTCAGCTGCCCACGTCGCCTCTAAGGCTGGTCCCTGCCCGCAGGGGTCGAGTGTTGAGGAGCAGCAGGACAGGTGCCAGGAGTTTGTGTGAAAGCACCCGAGTCTGCCCCTCCTGTGAGCGTGGAGTGGGCGTGGGGTGTGCTGCTGTGTCCCAGAGGCAGGGCTGCCAGCCGGTCTCGGGAACCCCGGGGAGGCCATGTCCTGAGCCGTTCTCAGTGCCTGGCCTCCGGGGGGCGGAGGCTCTGTGCGTATGGGTGTGCAGGCTGAGCCGGGGCAGTGCCCAGCGGCGGAGGCTGGGGTTGGAGTCGCTCCTGACTTTCTGCCCAAGCTAGGAGCACGTGGACCTTCCGGGCCCTTCTCAGTCTCCGGCAGATGCTAGGCCAGAGCACGGCTCCTGCTCTCTGTGGAGTCTCTGTGGGGTGCCGAGACGAGGGCCCTCAGGGTAGCCTCATTCAGTCACAAGGCCCTGCGGCCACGTGGACTAACCAGGGTCTGTCTGCTGAGGCAGGTGGGCCTCACCATAGGTCGTGGGTGGGTCCCCCAGTGCGCTGCTGCTCTGGGTGCTGGGAGCCGCCCTGCCCTCTGCCGTCCTCCGTGGCCATTCGGCTGGCGTGTGTTGTCGGGGGGTGAGAACAGGGACCGGGGATGTCCTTGGCCTGGGGCTTCGACTACACGGTAGAGCAAAGGGCTGCGGGGGACGGGGACCTGCTCTGCGGCTGCCCTGCCCTCGCCAGCTGCTTTCTGTGCACCCTCAGGCTCAGCTCCAGTGGGAGAGTCAGGCCGAAGCGGCACCCCAGCACGGCCACAGGTGACACGTCCCTCCACGCCACTGGCCTTGGGCCTTGTACTCTGTGGGGAGGTGAGAGGCCGGGGCGCTGTCCAGGTAGAGGCCCAGCCACACGGGTCAGAGGGAGGGAGCACACGGGCTCAGGCTCCTGGGCTCGGGCTGGCAGGCCGTGCTGTCCCAGCCACTGCAGTGCCTGTAAACGTTAGCCAGACGGGTTGCAGGACGGAGCTGGGGTTGCTCTGGGGAAGCCTCTGCTTCACAGGAGGTGAAGTTCACACACAACGGAGGGACGTGTCGGGCATCGTAAGTACAGCCCTTAGTGAGCTTTGAAGGTGAGTCTTCCTCACCCAGGCTCCCCACAGGGCAAGGCAGCAGCTTCCTCCGGCCCCATCCCCACCGGTCTGCCCCTCACCCCTCCCAGCCCGTCCTGATCTGGTGTCTGCCCCAGGTCCGTGTGGCCTCTGAGACGTTGATGTGAACGCAGCGTGCAGTCTATCCTTGTATGGGACGCTGCTGTCATTCAGTGAGATTCACGTGTGCGTGTGTCCTGTTTTTTCTTCAGAATTTAAAAATAAGGGACCAGCAGTTAGCGTAATGGCTATGTCGCTGGAATCCCAAGTAGTCGACCACGGTTCGCGTCCTGGACCCGGTGGCTTAAACTAACGCCAGGCGCGTGTGCGTGCGTGCCCAAGATCCCGAGAGGAGAGTGGAGGAGAAGGGATTGCAGCGTGACCATCCCCCCTGGGGGGTGATTTCTCGCTTTCTATCTCTCTGTCTCTCTCTCTCTCTGTCTGGCGAGCGCACGCGCCCTATAGCAAAAACTTCTTAAAAAAAAAAAAAGAAAAAATAATATATGCTTATTTAAAATGTTGGCTGTTACAGACATGGCCTTACAGACTCCGTTTTTCTAGAATCCCATCACCAGAGAGAATGCAGGGTGTTGCTTTCCACAGGTCGGACTTGTTGGGCCAGGCCATCAGAGTGGCTGCCCGCTGTGAGCTGAGCAGGATGGCCAGGCAGGTGCTCCAGCCACCCGCCACCTTCCTCCAGCTCAGCTCTGCAGGCCTGATCTGGCCTTCCCGCGGCGTGTGAGACTGGGGTTCTCAGTACCGTTCTGCCCTCTGGGCCCTGGGCTTGTCACTGTATGGGACGTGTCTCTCTGACTCTTCTGTGACAGGGACTGGGAGCGAAGGAAAGTAGGGTAGGTTGGTGTTGATCATCCCATAAACCTGGCCCCAGTAGAGGGCTCGGCGGGTAACCTGGAGGCTGCCGTCCACCCTTGTGTTCACCAGAGAGGCAGCTGGTCCTCTTCCCAGTGGGCGATGTTCCTGCCTTTCCCTGCTGGGGTCAGCGCACAGGGACCCCCCCATCCCAAGGGAAGCCTGTGGCTGAGGGGTCCTACCAGGGAGGCAGTTTCTGTGCCACCTTCTTGCCCTGCCTCAGGCCTCGAAGGTTCTGCCTTAGGCCCTGGGTGTCTGGGCGCCAGCGGTCTGGCCTGGCAGTGGGCCTAAGCTGGGCGTGCTGTCCTTGGGGCTGATGGGCACACTGCCTGGGACAGCTGCCAGGGAGTCAGCTCCTGCCAGGGCCAGGCACCCGCTCCAAGAGCCGCGTTTCTAGTTACCTGGCACTGCCCAGGCTGTGGCTGCCAGGGGAGGTGCAGTGCCCCGTGGCCCACGGTGAGCAGTGCGGAGGGCCCTGGCTGTCATCTGGTGGGGAGGGACAG